CCTCCCCCTGAATGTTTGAATCAGGGTTCCTCAAAGAAAGTAGAACCAATGGGGGCTGTGTGTGTGTGTGTGTGTGTGTGTGTGTGTGTGTGTACACGTGTGTGTGTGTATACATAGAGATTTTAAGGAATTGGATTATACCATTGTGGGGCTGGCAAGTCTGATGTCTGCAGGGCATGGCAGCAGTCTGGAGACACGGAAGAGTTGAGGTTGCAGCTCGAGTTCCTTTCTTAGGGGACAGCAGACATTTCCTCATAAGGTTTTCCTCTTATTGGCTGAGGCCCATCCACAGTTTGGTGGGTAATAAGTCTGTAAATTTAATGTTTAATCACATCTAAAAAATACTTTCACAGCAACATCCACATTGGTATGGACAAACATCTGGCCACTATGGCCTAACTAAGTTTGACACAGTTAAAGGAAAAAAAATTTTTGAGACAGACAGGGTCTCCCTCTGTCACCCACACTGGAGTGCAGTGGCATGATCTCTGCTCACTGCAACCTCCGTCTCCTGGGCCCAAGAGATCCTCCCACACGAGCCTCCCAAATAGCTGGGACCACAGGTGTACACCACCACGCCCAACTAATTTTTGTATTTTTTGTTGACATGGGGTTTTGCCATGTTGCCCAGACTGGCCTCAAACTTCTGGGCTCAAGCGATCTGCATGCCTCAGCCTACCAAACTGCTGGAATTAACAGGTGTGAGCCACTGTGACCAGCTGACACATAAAACTAACCAGCACAATTAGTAATGGCTTAAGTTTAGCTAATTATATTCCCCTAAACAAGACTATGAATGTTGAGTAAATCATGCATAGAGGGAGGGTGAATTTGAAATTCATTCTGGAGATGGCAGAGCTCTGGCAATGGCAGTAGGGCCAGAGGCTATAGAGTGTCTGTTGTGGTGGCAGTGGGAGCTCCATAGCCAGGGTGGGCTGAAGTCCTGTGTATGTGATGAGCCTGGCCTCTGCAGGCTTCCCTGAAGTACATGAGCTTCTTGACAGCCTGTCAGCGACTGCCCTCTGTGTCTCCACTCACTTTAGATGGCCTCTCTTTTAATCAAAGTGCCCTGGCTTGTAGCAGGGAAGCGTAACAAGTGATTTCAGAAGAATGAAGGGAATGTGGATTGGGAATCTGCTCTCGTTAAACCTGAGGATAATGGAAATCTAGGTAGCTTTTAGGGAAAGAAATCCAGAAACCTATATCAGAATGTAGAAAAGTTGAGTTAACTTTGCCTGCAGTCCCATCAGGACGAATTTGTAGTTCCCAGATTGTAAGTGGCCTCTGAAAAAGATGGCTGGTCCTACCAGTTTAAAGAAAATAGTCAGCTCATGTGTTGCCCTGTATGATCAGTTCCATATGGATTGAAACACAGACATATGTCTTTTTTTTTTTTTTTTCCATTTATTTTATTGCATTTTAGGTTTTGGGGTACATGTGAAGAACATGCAAGATTGTTGCATAGGTACACACGTGGCAGTGTGATTTGCTGCCTTCCTCCCCATCACCTACATCTGGCATCTCTCCCCTTGCTATCTCTGCCCAGCTCCGCACCCCGCACCGTCCCTCCTCTATATCCCCCCAACTGACCCCAGTGTGTAGTGCTCCCCTCCCTGTGTCCATGTGTTCTTATTGTTCAACACCCACCTATGAGTGAGAACATGCGGTGTTTGATCTTCTGCTCTTCTGTCAGTTTGCTGAGAATGATGGTTTCCAGGTTCATCCATGTCCCTACAAAGGACACAAACTCATCGTTTTTGATGGCTGCATAATATTCCATGGTGTATATGTGCCACATTTTCCCTGTCCAGTCTATCGTTGATGGGCATTTGGGTTGGTTCCAGGTCTTTGCTATTGTAAACAGTGCTGCAATGAACATTCGTGTGCACGTGTCCTTATAGTAGAACGATTTATAATCCTTTGGATACATACCCAGTAATGGGATTGCTGGGTCAAATGGAATTTCTATTTCTAGGTCCTTGAGGAATCGTCACACTGTCTTCCACAATGGTTGAACTAATTTACACTCCCACCAACAGTGTAAAAGTATTCCTATTTCTCCACATCCTCTCCAGCATCTGTTGTCTACAGATTTTTTAATGATCGCCATTCTAACTGGCGTGAGATGGTATCTCAATGTAGTTTTGATTTGCATTTCTCTGATGACCAGTGATGATGAGCATTTTTTCATATGTTTGTTGGCCGCATGTATGTCTTCTTTTGTAAAATATCTGTTCATATCCTTTGCCCACTTTTGAATGGGTTTGTTAGTTTTTTTTCTTGTAAATCTGTTTTCGTTCTTTGTAAATTCTGGATGTCAGCCCTTTGTCAGATGGGTAAACTGCAAAAATTTTTTCCCATTCTGTTGGTTGCCGATTCACTCTAATGACTGTTTCTTTTGCTGTGCAGAAGCTGTGGAGTTTGATTAGGTCCCATTTGTCTATTTTGGCTTTTGTTGTCAATGCTTTTGGTGTTTTGGTCATGAAGTCCTTGCCTACACCTATGTCCTGAATGGTTTTGCCTAGATTTTCTTCTAGGGTTTTTATGGTGTTAGGTCTTATGTTTAAGTCTTTAATCCATCTGGAGTTAATTTTAGTGTAAGGTGTCAGGAAGTTGGGTCCAGTTTCTGCTTTCTGCACATGGCTAGCCAGTTTTCCCAACACCATTTATTAAACAGGGAATCCTTTCCCCATTGCTTGTTTGTGTCTGGTTTGTCAAAGATCAGATGGTTGTAGATAAGTTGTATTGCCTCCGAGGCCTCTGTTCTGTTCCATTGGTCTATATCTCTGTTTTGGTACCAGTACCATGCTGTTTTGATTACTGTAGCCTTGTAGTATAGTTTGAAGTCTGGTAGTGTGATGCCTCCCACTTTGTTCTTTTTACTTAGAATTGACTTGGCTATGCGGGCTCTCTTTCGGTTCCATATGAAGTTTAAGGTGTGTTTTTCCAGTTCTGTGAAAAAGGTCATCGGTAGCTTGATGAGGATACCGTTCAATCTGTAAATTACTTTGGGCAGTATGGCCATTTTCACGATACTGATTCTTCCTAACCATGAACATGGAATGTTTCTCCATCTGTTTGTGTCCTCTCTTATTTTGTTGAGCAGTAGCTTGTAGTTCTCCTCAAAGAGGTCCTTTACGTTCCTTGTTAGTTGTATTCCTAGGTATTTTATTCTCTGTGGCATTTGTGAATGGCAGTTCATTCTTGATTTGGCTCTCTTTAAGTCTGTTATTGGTGTATAGGAATGCATGTGATTTTTGCACATTGATTTTGTATCCTGAGACTTTGCTGAAGTTGCTTATCAGTTTCAGGAGATTCGGGGCTGAGACGATGGCGTCTTCTAGATATACAATCATGTCGTCTGCAAATAGAGACAATTTTACTTCCTCCTTTCCTATTTGAATACCCTTTATTTCTTTTTCTTGCCTGATTGCTCTGGCTAGAACTTCTAGTACTATATTGAATAGGAGTGGTGAGAGCGGGCATCCTTGTCTGGTGCCACATTTCAAGGGGAATGCTTCCGGTTTTTGCCCATTCAGTATGATATTGGCTGTTGGTTTGTCGTCAATAGCTTTTATTATTTTGAGATATGTTCCATCAATACCTAGCTTATTGAGGGTTTTTAGCATAAAGGGCTGTTGAATTTTGTCAAAGGCCTTCTCTGCATCAATTGAGATAGTCATGTGGTTTTTGTCTTTGGTTCTGTTTATGTGGTGAATTGCGTTTATAGACTTGCATATGTTGAACCAGCCTTGCATCCCCGGACTGAAGCCTACTTGATCATGCTGGATAAGCTTTTTGATGTGCTGTTGCAATCAGCTTGTCAGTATTTTATTGAAGATTTTTGCATCTATGTTCATCGTGGATATTGGCCTGAAGTTTTCTTTTCTTGTTGAGTCTCTGCTGGGTTTTGGAATCAGGATGATGTTGGTCTCATAAAATGAGTTGGGAAGAATTCCCTCTTTTTATATTGCTTGAAATAGTTTCAGAAGGAATGGTACCAGCTCCTCTTTGTATGTCTGGTAGAATTCAGCTGTGAACCCGTCTGGACCTGGGCTTTTTTTGGGTGGTAAGCTCTTAATTGCTGCCTCAACTTCAGACCTTGTTATGGGTCTCTTCAGGGTTTCGGCTTCTTCCTGGTTTAGGCTTGGGAGGAGGCAAGTGTCCAGGAATTTATCCATTTCTTCCAGGCTTACTAGTTTATGTGCATAGAGTTGTTTGTAATAATCTCTGATGATGGTTTGAATTTCTGTGGAATCTGTGGTGATATCCCCTTTATCATTTTTTATTGCATCAATTTGGTTATTCTCTCTTTTCTTTTTTATTAATCTGGCTAGTGGTCTGTCTATTTTGTTGATCTTTTCAAAAAACCAGCTCCTGGATTTATTGATTTTTTTGAAGGGTTTTTTGTGTCTCTATCTCCTTCAGTTCTGCTGTGATCTTAGCTATTTCTTGTCTTCTGCCAGACTTTGAGTTTTTTTTGATCTTGCTCCTCTAGCTCTTTCAGTTTTGATGATAGGGTGTCAATTTTTGATCTCTCCTTCTCATGTGGGCACTCATTGCTATATATTTTCCTCTAGAGACTGCTTTAAATGTGTCCCAGAGATTCTGGTATTTTGTGTCTTCATTCTCGTTGGTTTCGAAGAACATCTTTATTTCTGTCTTCATTTCATTGTTTATCCAGTCAACATTCAAGAGCAAGTTGTTCAGTTCCCATGAAGCTGTGCAGTTCTGGGTTAGTTTTTGAATTCTGAGTTCTAACTTGATTGCACTGTGGCCTGAGAGACTGTTTGTTATGATTTCCGTTCTTTTGCATTTGCTGAGGAGTGATTTACTCCCAATTATGTGGTCAATTTTAGAGTAGGTGTGATGTGGTGCTGAGAAGAATGTATATTCTGTGGATTTGGGGTGGAGAGTTCTGTAAATGTCTATTAGGTTTGCTTGGTCCAGGTCTGAGTTCAAGTCCTGGATATCCTTGTTAATTTTCTGTCAACACAGACATATTTCTGTCTGTATCACAAAGCTCTTTGATCTCCTGCCACTGAGTAAGCGAAACAGCTGAAAATGAGAGCCCAGGCTGATCCCCGTGGGTGCCAAACTTTGATGTCCATGGAATCTGCAGCATCTCCTAGTCTCCTAGCTGAAAATAGGTCAGTGATTAAGAGAGTGGAACTTCAGGAATTATAAGATGGATTTATGGAAGCATGTGGAAAACTCGATTTATCCCAAATTACCAACTCTACCTAATCTCCAAACCTGCTCCTTCTTCCTTCCTGAAAGCTGACCAGCCCAGATGGAAGGGTTTTCACTGCAAGAGATCTGTTTCCCGACCTCTTATTGTCCCTTGACCTACGGTGAAAGTAGGATCTGAGCTGAGCCTGGGCACCAGTTCCTGGGAGGTGAAGACTCACACACCAAAATCATTTCCATCTGGCTAATGTATGTCAGCAAAATCCTCAAGAGCATGTGTGGATATAGGTTCTTGGAGTATTTTATAAAGTAGAAACTGTACAGTTTAAAATGACTGAATTTTTTATTAGAATTGTGCCCAATTAAAGTTCTATTTAAGATACCATAGCTGGAGCAGCTGGGATAAACCTGTTTGCTCAGTTGGTGGACCTAAGCCTGGATTCACAGGAGGCCAATTCCAAATGCATTTGAGATGCTAGGGATTTCTTGCTGTAATGTAGAAAGAATCCATAGGCTTCAGGGGGTAGGTAAGATTTATCACACGTGACTTGCCCTGGCTTGAACAACACATAGGTCTGTGGAGCTCTACATTCTTGAAAAGAATTCTGGTAGCTGTTGTCTGTAGACAGAGATGCTGGTGGGAGGCATGATAGGGGAAAGTGAGTGCCTGATTTCAATGGGGCTAGGCAATTCCAAGGGTGTCAGAGGGCAAGCAGCATGATACTTTAGCTGGAAATGAACTTTGGATGTTACTCCGTGGTCTGTGGCACACAGGTCTTGGCTGTGGCTCATCAGTGGTGAGGTTTTTAGGCCTGAGGATGGGGAGCTCATCGTGATCCCCTTGATGTGTAGATCTGAGCTACCACCATCGCCAGCACAATGGAGGTTCCTGGCCTCTGACCCAGTCCCCAGTTCTGTATCTGCTCGGAGACCCTGCCTCCCTTGATGGCAGGGAAGCTAAACTTGAGCAAAGGACTCTGCCAAATACCCAGTCATGGCCTGTGAATCTTCCTGCCAGATTTCCCCTAATAGGTCCTTCAGCCATTTGCCTGGAAACTGCATTGTAGAATGGGAAATAGCCACATAATTTTGGGATTAATGTTGTTTGCTGCATCTGTGAAGCTTCTGGAGGCTCAGTATTTTGGGAAACATCAGAATATCCCGAGAAAGACCACATCCTGCATCTTGCTTTGTTTAGCTACCACCACCATTAGAGGGGGCTTGAGAGACCGCAGTGACTACCCATGGTGTGCCGCTGTCACCCAAAAGGCTACAGACTGCAAGGTGTTCATCAGATAATACTGAGATAAGCCTTAGATGACTGACTAAAAGGTTCCAGTCGGGTTGCTTTTTACCTGTTCTTATTTTTGCTTACTGATTTTGGAATCTGACTCCAGCTTCCTTTCCCTTACTGGGCCCATGATCTGTGTCTGTCTGCATGGAGGAGAGAAAAGAGGCTGATAAGGTCAGCTCAGTTCTCTGGGAAGCCCCAGCAAACTTCCTGCATCATCTTGCTCCTTGTCCTCAGTCTCACAGAGCCTCCCAGAATCCTGCTTTCCTCCAGTCCGTAGTCTGGGTAGGCCAGGGTGTGAGTCTGCAGCAGTCCCAGGTGGGAAATCCAGAACCCAGAGCCAAAGTCCAGGGTATGGCACTCTAAGCTCCCAAATCTAAGCTCATTAGATTTCTCATGCCCGTAGGAGATGGGCATGAGGCTGCCGCTGGCTCATGTAGTTGTGTGCCTCAGCACAAGCTGGGTGCTGTGGAGAATACAGCAGGACTTAGAGACATGGCCCAGCCCTCTCTTGGGGATCACATGGATGTGCCTTGGGAGATTCTGGACAACCCTGCAGAAGTGCTGGAGTGCTACCCAGAGGGCTGCAGAGGGCATGGGTCTGTGCCTCACAAACTTAAAGTCCATAAAATCACCTGAGGACTATTGAGTCTGCACTTCAGAGATGCTGTGGGTGTGAGATTAGATATGCTGTGTCATTTTTTTTCCAGGGTGGATTGGAAGGAGCTTATGACCTAGGACCTACTTTGATGATTAAAAGTAAAACAGGCAGGGGGCACCTGGATTTGAACCAGGGACCTCTTGATCTGCAGTCAAATGCTCTACCCCTGAGCTATACCCCCAGTGGTAGAAGAATAGCGTAATTAACCCCCTTTTCATGTGTCCCCAGCACACCAAGAGCAAGACCCAGCTCTGCCGGTTGGGATGTCCAGACCGGTTCTGTTTCTCTTAACTCTGGCCTCCCTCCTGTCACTAATACTTCTTTCTCCATCACTTCTGTGTGCTCCTGGCTGAGGACACCCTGGTGACCTGGTTGAGCTTTATAACTGGAGAGACCCTTCAAGTCATCCAGATAATCCTCTTTGACAGTAGCAATTTTTGAGCATCATGCCAGGTGTTCTGGGCTGGGGCAGAACTCTAACTGGGTGACACCACCTTCCCCTGCACTGAAAGGACACCCAGAGCCTGTGTCTGGAGGCTTGTATTTGATGTTGAATACTGTTCGTGATAATTTGTCAAGTGAAAAGCAATTGCATTTGTTTAAAAAAAAAAATAAAAGAGTTACTCAACAAATAATACTCAGTCTTTTAAAAATGTGGTACATATACACTGTGGAATACCATGCAGCCACAAGAAAGAATGAGATCATGTCCTTTGGAGCAACGTGGATGGAGCTGCAGGGTGTTATCCTTAGCAAACTAACGAAGGAAGAGAAAACCAAATGCCGCATGTTCTCATTTACAAGTGGGAGGTAAATGATGAGAATACGTGGACACAGAGAGGAGAACACCACACACTGGCACCTACCCGAGGGTGGATGGTGGAAGGAGAAAAGATCAGAGAAAATACATATGCATAGTATATGGCTGACAAAATAATCAGATCCCTGTGACATGAGTTTACCTGTATTACAAACCTGCACATGTACCCTTGAACCTAAAATAAAATTAAAAGAAAAAAAAAATCATTAAAAAGGTGATCCTCCACAGAGTACCACTTCTAGAAGTTTACCCTTCAAAAGTATTCATATAAGTATATGAAGATACGTGTATGTGAATGTTCATCACAGTGGTTTTTAATTCCTCACAGCAAAACACTGGAGATCATCTAAATACACATTGGCAGGGAATTGGTTAAAACCAAACTTTGTCTCTTAGCCAGGAGGAGATGAGGAGAAGATAAAGATGCAGAGCAGCAGGGGATGCTGAGAGGTCTCCATGGCCTTAGTCTTCTCAGTCAGGTAGAAAACAGGTCATCCAAAGAGGATAGAGAGGTGGGGTGGGACTCATTACTTGGGAAGAAGGGCAAAGCGTGAACCAGGACTATGGGAAATGGAGAAGGGGTGAATTAGAAAGGAATAGGATCATTGCTCATTAGCAGAGAGATGCTGGTTGAGGTCAGAATGGTGTAGCTTTGCAGTAGGACCATTTTTCTGTCTCAACAATTTCCTTCAGCAAGGACTGGCTACCCCAGAGCAAAGATGGGAAAAACCAAGGTGTTTGTGTCCCCAGATGCAGAAGGGGAAGGTAGACAGACCACGGGCCAAGCTCTCAGAGGAGCTAGAATCATGACTGAGAGGCCAAACATGGGGTCCATAATGAGCAGGCAGATAGCTGAACCCCAAGGTGGCTCTGGGGTCATAGGAACAGAGAGAGATGTACAAGATTAAGGTCAGAATGAGAATAATGAACCATTTTAAGTAACAGTATGGGGAACAGGTAAACATCAGGCAAGGTGCCATTAAAGGACTTTTCTGATTTTCAGATCATGAAAGGGAATAGTTTGAGTAATGATCCGGTTTGGCTATGAATGCTGAACAGTTAATGCAAAACGGAAAGAAATCAACCAGGAGCTTCCTTATCTGCCGCTTAAAAGTCCACAGCTAGGTGCTCCAGGCATGGCTTTGCATAGGTTCAAGAAACTGATTTCGGCTGGGCCTGATCACTCACGCCTATAAACCCAGCACTTTGTGAGGCCAAGGTGGATGGATCATCTGAGGTTGGTTGTTCGAGACCAGCCTGACCAGCATGGAGAAACCCCACCTCTACTCAAAATACAAAAAAAAAAAAAAATTAGCTGAGTGTGGGGGCACATGCCAGTAATCCCACTACTTGGGAGGCTGAGGAAGGAGAATCTCTTGAACCTGAGAGGCGGAGGTTACAGTGAGCCGAGATCATGCCATTGCACTCCAGCCTGGGCAACAAGAGCGAAACTCTGTCTCAAAAAAAGTAAAAAGAAGCTGATTTCTCCTTTCTGGCTGCCTGGTTGGCTTGGCTTCCATTCCAGCATGCCAATGGGTGACGACATTAGCAACTCATCTGGAGGACAGGGACGGGAAAGGGTCAAGTACCCAAGTTCTAGCCCAAAGCTCTAAGTGTTTGTGAAACTGGAACAGCAGAAGCCACTTCTTAAGAAATTTAAGTGGGGCCGGGCGCGGTGGCTCAAGCCTGTAATCCCAGCACTTTGGGAGGCCGAGGCAGGTGGATCACGAGGTCAAGAGATCGAGACCATCCTGGTTAACATGGTGAAACCCCGTCTCTACTAAAACTACAAAAAAAAATCAGCTGGGCATGGTGGCGCGTGCCTGTAGTCCCAGCTACTCAGGAGGCTGAGGCAGGAGAATTGCCTGAACCCAGGAGGCGGAGGTTGCGGTGAGCCGAGATCGCGCCATTGCACTCCAGCCTGGGTAACAAGAGCGAAACTCCGTCTCAAAAAAAAAAAAAAAAAAGAAATTTAAGTGTTTGTGGGTACATATTGGGTGTGTATATTTACAAGGTATATGAGCTGTTGTGAAACTGGCATGCAATGTGAAATCAGCACATCATGGGGAATGGGGTATCCATCCCCTCAAACATGTATCCTTTGAGTCACCAATGCCACTTTTTGAAAGGGAATAAAAAGTATGAAATTAAAAGTTTACATCTCTTGTTAACAAAAGGAATCTGCTTTAGTGAATAGGAAATTATGAAGCACATCATTGAAAACAAAAGTGCTGTTCAGGCCACTACATCTTATACTAATAAGGAAGGTCACAAGATACAGAATATTTTCAACTCAGGAGATTACAGCAAAGCGCCATTTGCTAAATGATCAAATTAGAGCCTCAAGTGACACTACACTTGACCAGGCTCTGTCTTCAGTGCCTACTTCTCTGCTGTGTTTTCCTGCCACTACGTGTAGAGATAGAATTTCTTGCTGTCAAATAGTTTTATTACAAGAACATTTTTTAACCTATCTAAAATACAGACGTCTGTTGCGTATATAAATTTGAAAAATTATTAAATGTATTTTAGTTAGTTTTTAAAATGTAAAGTTTTATGAACTTTAGAAAGTTCATAAAACAGGATTACTGTAAGGGATACTAAAAGTCATGAATTGTACTTCTGAATTCTATGCTGCATTGCTGAACCTCCATGAATTTTGAGATTTTGTACCAAAAAAGCCGTTTGTTCTCCAAAGCGTACAACATCATTACATCCTTTAGTTTTTGAGATGATTGATATAATTGAGTGATCCCTTCTGCAGAAGCTTGCTTTTAAAGCTTAAATATGATGTAAAATTGCCTTTGATAGAACATCTACACACAACATGGAACTATATACATTCACCTGTTGACATTTCATCCTCTGCAGACTTGGCCTCATAAGGGCTCACTCACTGAGTCATAGATCCTGGTGGTTTGTCTTGGAAATAAAAGAGCAATACCCTATCCCAGGGAGAATGTCTAGATCGAGAAGTTGAAAAATTAAGACAACTAGGAAATGCTAAAGCAGCATTTTTTCTTGGAAGATGCTCTTCTGGTCCAGTTTTAAGTGCTGTACACATAAGTGTGAAAGGAAAATCCATCCTGGGGCCCCCAAATCACTAAAGGGAAAAGTCAAGCTGGGAGCCGCTTAGGGCAAAGCTGCCTCCCATTTTATTCAAAGTCACCCCTCTGCTGACTGAGATAAATCTGTATCTGATTGCCTCCTTTAGAGAGGCTCATCAGAAATGCAAAAGAATACAACAGTTTGTCTCTTATCTACCTGTGACCTGGAAGTCCCCTCTCAGTTTGCAGTTGTCCTGCCTTCCCCTGGAGTTGCCCCACCTTCCTGGACTGAACAGTTGTACGTCTTACACATATTGATTGATATCTCATGTGTCTCTAAAATGTATGAAACCAAGCTATGCCCCTGCCACCTTGGGCACAGGTTGTCAGGACTGCCTGAGGCAGTGTCACAGACATGCATCCACAGCCTTTGCAAAATACACTTTCCCAGTTAACTGAGACCTTTCTAGATATTCGGGGTTTGCATAAGGAGGAATAAGAAGAGGCAGAGTGGGAGCAAGGCAGCCTTAGGCTAAGGAGGCTTCTTGGAAGCTCTGCTAAAGTGGGGTCTTGCCCTTAGCTATGGTCTAGAGCCCCTTGGGGAGCTTTTACCATGCCTGGGCCCCACCCCAGATGTTCTGATTTAATTGGTCTGGGATGGGGCCTGGGAAATGGCACTTTTATGGACTCTTCAAGTGATTCTAATTTATATCTGGTGTTTAGAACCACCACATTCTATCCTCACCATTTGCTGGTTCTGGAAAAAAATCTTTACCCTAGTGTCTAACAAGAAGTTAAAATATAGGCACCTATTTAAAATGTCAAAATTGAAAATGCGGAGGGGGTATCTGGAATTGAACCGGAGGCCT